TCATTGCTTGCTTCATTAACTATTTTTCCACTAGACCACAAGGTCTAGACCACATGTAAGTCTTTCTCACCATTTAATCATCAGGGGCCTGGAAAATACTAAGAATGTTATAAACAGTTGATAAGTAAAGGAAAGAAAGGAAGGAAGAAGGAAGGAATTTTTCAAATATTAGGGAAGCAAATTGTCCAGTTTATTTAGTATTCAAAATGCAATCATATGGACAGTACTTTTGGAAATACTTCCCTTATGACTGGGATTTCACCAACTCCTTCCTGTGCTTATTGAATTGCTGAAAATAATATCAAAAAGTGTTATTTCCTCTTCTGATTCCTCCAGGAGATGAAGACACAAATCATAGGGTCCAAGTGACTTAAGCCAAAGTGGTTCTTCTTGGTTCTTATGTCATTGTTTTGGAGTCAGCCCAGGTATCCACACTATACCATCTGCACTGTATCCGAAACATCTCTTACTTTCCCATCTGACTCTTGCTTACATTGTTAGATTCTCAACTCTTTCCCCTGACTCATCTCCCAAAGTACAGATGATTATCCTTATTCTAATAGAAGGGAGAGAATGTGTAGATCATCCAAAGGAGTGGCTTGTCCAAACACTGTCTCTTTTGGCTTTCAAATACATAATGTAGATTTTCATATAACCAGAATTTGCCCACTGCTCAGAAAACAGAGAATTCTTCTGTAAATGGCAGTCCAAATTTGAAAACCACAGCTGTTTTTAGCAATTGAGTCACTGCCTTTCAGATGCCAAAAATATCACCTACCATACTCCCCAGGGTTCAAAGAAAGAGGAAAGAAGAAAAAAAAGCAAAGAACAAGTTGAGGATAAAGGTAGCAGGAAGCTTCTCCAGTCATATGAATTATTATTAAAAATAACTACAATAGTGCTCGCTTCAGCAGCACATACACTAAAATTGGAACGATACAAAGAAGATTAGCATGGCCCCTGCGCAAAGGTGACATGCAAATTCGTGAAGCGTTCCATATTTTTATGGAATAAAAATAAAAACAAAATAAAATAAAGACATAAAAAACTACAACAACTCAAACAACAATAGTAATAGCAATAAGATTAGCATTCAATAGCAATCAACAAAATAGGGTTGCATGTGACTTTCCTAATCTCCATGAAAGGGAAAGATGAGAGTATTCTTAGCACCATCATTTTACAGATGTATAAACAAAGTTAGAAAAGTTAAGTGAATAACCCAACCCATGGTTACACAGCTAAGCCTGAACTCCAAATCAAGCATTAGACTTCAAATCCTATATTCTGTCTCTTATTCAAACAGTCTCATCACTGATTTATCTAACCACTCCTTCATGAATTGATTTTGGTAGGAAATCTGCCCTTTTCCCATCACTGTAGGCCTAAGGGGGATCATTAGAATTTCTGTGAGCTTCTCAAAATAGAGTAGAAACAAAGATTATACTTTTAGATTTTAGATGAGGGTTCTAGGTATATATGCATTAAAATCTTACTTGGCCCCTCTATAAACTGGTTTTGGAAGTCTGAAGAAAAAAGTTTGGCCAGTCTGTGCCGGTGTGCATCTTGGACTCTAATTCCCCAGACCCCCCTCCCACCCACAGGGGACTTCAGGAACAGCTAAAGCAACTTTTTAACTGGCAAAACTTGGTGACCCTTCTCTAGTCTCCCAGTCCCCATCTCCCCAGAGCAGACCAGTACCTAGCACATCCTGGGCTGTGGTGAGAGAGACTCTCATCTTGGAGGCCCTAGCCACTGGGTCCGGGCTGTGCAGCCAAGGGAATGTCTACCCCATAAATCAAATCTTGGGGAATCTGTGATCCAGCAACACCTCCAGCAGATACCCATTTAAGGCAATATCTGGTGAGAGCTTGTAAAAGAAAAGTTGGAAAAAGAAACTAGACAGGGAAATGATGGAAGGGCTACTAAATGATACAGGGCAGATGAAACTGTGGCAGACAGTATTTTCCAAAGATGACTGGAAAAATAATTCTGGTTTTAAATGCTCTTCTAGAATCTTGCTATTCTCCCATCAAGAAGAGTTTATTTCCTCTCTCCTCAAATCTCCATTGGTCTTGATGACTGTCTCAATGAATAGACTATGGTTGAAGTGAAGCCCTGTGACTTCTGGGGGTAGGTTAGAAAAGGTAGTACAGCTTCCACCTGGCTCTCTCTCTTGGGCATCTGACTTTTGAACCTTGGAAGGAAACCCAGGCTACATAGACAGTTCATATGTAGGTATTCCAGTTATCAACCCAACAAAGGTACTAGCCAACAGCTGGCATCAACTGCAGTACATGCAAGTGAACGAGCCTTGTGATTCCAGTCACCGGCCTTTGAGTCACCCTAGCCTTCAGGTCTTTCAGCTGAAGCTTCAGACATCATGAGCCAAAGACAAGCCATCCTTATAGTGCCCTGTGGGGATTCTTGACCCATAGAATCCATAGACACAGTAAATCGTTGTTTTATGCTACTAAGTTTTGGGGTAATTTGTTGCACAGCACTTCATAACCAGAACCCTAACCTAGGTCCTGAGAGGACCTCTGGCATGTTCTATCTGCAACAGCCAAAAGTGAAATCAGGTTCTACTGCTAATTCTAGCCGACCCCTGCCAGGCACCTTCTTTATACAGGTCATTTCTCTTAGAGGCTCCACTGTTTCTCCTTGCAACTGCACCTGGCCCTCCCAGCCAAGTCCATTAGACATGCTATGAGAGGTCTGAATCTCAGTTGTGCACAGGGTTTGAGCTCTTTTCTTTAAGTTCCTTTGGCCCTGCCTGGACACATCAGAAGATGAGCTTAGCCACTTATTTCAGTCTTTGAACCTTCTGTGGTGGGTAAGAAGTACGCAGTGGTGGAGAGTAATGGGTAGTGGGGAGAAAGGGAAGAACCTAACTCCCAACACCTTTGTCTTAGTTCTGACCTAGAGTTAACTGTTCTACTTAAATACTTACAAGAGCACAGTTAGAACCTTCACTCTCAGTGCCATGATACTGCTGAATCATTTTACTTCCAATGACAGCCTTTTGATCAGGTCATTACATTTAATATCAGAAAAGCCAAAAATTTAGGGACTTGTCTATCACGTATACTGTTGTAACACAAACATTTAGAATCATGCCTAGAACATGGTACACACTCAATAAATATCTATTGGATAGAAGAATAAACAAATGAATGAATGAATGAATGAATGAATGAAAGACATTCCTCCCTCCTTTTAGAGAATAATATATAATATTAGATTAGCATAAAGTGCTTAGTAGACTGCAGTGTTCAATAGGGTATTTGACTGCCTTAAGTAATGTTTTGCAACCTGCTCAAAGCAGCTGTTAAACCTTAAAACTGAGTTCCTTGAAGGCAGAGACCATGTCTTATTCCATTTTGTATCCCCAGCACCTGGCACTTTGCCTGACACTAGCTAAGTGTTCAGTAAATATTAAATATTTAAATATTAAAACCTAAATGAATGTCAAACAGAGACTGGCAGAGACATTTCAAATTATTTAGTTCTCTTAGGCTTTGCTTGGTAGGAGGCAGTGACAGAGAAAGATACTGGCTAGTGCACCTGATCCCCAGAGGGATAGACTGGGGTATAGGAGTCCAGAAGGCCTGAGGCTTCCTAGCTGCTAAAACATTTTGAGAACAAGAGGACTGAAAAAGCTTTTGTAATCTGAACAGGACATTGATTTGAATACCAAAAAAAAAAAGCATATAGACTACCACTCTACCAATCAAAAGTGCTTTTCTATGATTACTCCAAGTATAATTTTATTTCACAGATAATTTTATACATGAGTCATTCATTCATTTGTCCATTCATTTATTCATTCATCCCATATTAATAGGGGTTTACCCACTGCTATTTTTCTGCAAAGATTTGTTTAATTTGCTCAAGATGTAGTTGAATGTTCAAAAGGTCCTCATTACCTGGAAAAATGACCTGACTAGGCAACAAAAGATGTGATATCATTTTGTAGAGGCAGATGGAAATTGCAGACAGAACGTCTTCACAGTTCAGAATTAACTAATCCAGTGTATTTCAAAATGTTATCTGCATTGCATAGAATTACTTGACAGATGACTACTAAGAAAGAGGTATCTAAGATCCACTCCAGACATACTAAATCAGAACATCAGGAGTGAGACTGTAAACCTTCTGAGCAACCTCTGGTGATTTTGACTGCACTCAAGTGTGAGAACTATTGACCAAAGGTGCCTTGCTATTAGGACCTACATGCCATTACTTAATATAATACAGCTTCTCCCACATTTCTACAAAAGTAAGGTGTTATTTGGCTATTCTAAGACACCTAGGAATAATGTATATATGGCTGAGATATTTAACACTATTTAGAACCAGTAAATATGGCCAATGCCCCAGACAAGAATTTCACTGAATGAACATAATCATTCTCTCTTTAAGGTAGGCCCAAATAGGGGCGCCTGGGTGTCGCAGTCGGTTGAGCGTCTGACTTCAGCCAGGTCACGATCTCGCGGTCCGGTCTGTGAGCTCGAGCCCCGCGTCAGGCTCTGGGCTGATGGCTCAGAGCCTGGAGCCTGTTTCCGATTCTGTGTCTCCCTCTCTCTCTGCCCCTCCCCCGTTCATGCTCTGTCTCTCTCTGTCCCAAAAAAAATAAATAAACGTTGAAAAAAAAATAATTAAAAAAAAAAAAATAAAGTAGGCCCAAATAGGCCCCTGCAAAAAGAAAATAACAAAGCAAATCTAGCCTTCCCTTAAGAAACTCACAATTTAGAAGCAAGCTATTACAAAATAGTTGTTATTAAAATAGAGAAGCTTTTAAACCTTGAAATGGCACATTCAAACTGTTCTCAATTTTAAAAACAATAAACAACAATCATCAGCTGTGAAAGGGAGATCTGGACTATACTATTTTTCTACCCTGGTTCCCACAGTGCTAACATCCAGCTGGGACCCCAGGACCTTTTCCTTGCTTTACTCCCAAACTCACTCCTTCTTCCCAGGAGACTTTTACTCACTTTCTGAATTTTCCTAATCTGGTCAGAGAGTGTGTCTAACAGGCGAGTTTTCAGGAAGTCCATCACCTTGACCACCCGGCCATCAATGTAGCAACTGGAATAAAAATAAAATAAGAATCAGGTAAAATCTTGAACAGGAGACTATAAATACACTTCTCTAACCAGAGGTCTCTGTTGCCTGAGGAAACAGCCCAGAGTTCACTTGGGCTTTCACATCCTGAAAAGTTTTTACCCTGGGTGTTTTTCAAACAAGTAATCTCCTTTTTATTTTCTTCATTTCTACCTCCATTTGTGGAGTCATTTTTTTCCAACCTCTGTCACATGAACCTGCATTGCTTGCTCTGTAGGAGTGGACAGGAATCCATAATACAAATTAAGTAATGGAGGAAAAGCTTACTCTTTTTTCCCCCAGGAAGAGTAATTTAACATCCATCCCATACCATCCCTGTCCCCACCTTAAAGTAGTAAAGGTATGTGACAGGTTTAGAAAGAATATTCAAACATTTTTTATAGGTTTCCACACCTTTAAATAAGAAAACAAATACTGACCACAAAAATCTGATACAGTGTAGTGAGTGGGTCTGAAAGGTTTCATCTCCAGTTCACTTTGTAGTCAACCCTCTCCTACCAACCAGCTCCAGAATAAATGAATGGATGAATGAATGAAGAAATAAATCAGACAGATGACGTAGTCTTCCAGCCCTCTCCTAAAATAGTAGTAACAAGTTCGGCATTCACTGTGGGTTTTATCAGGTTGTGTTAGTTGTGCTGATAGTATGTTGTGAACATTTGACCAAAACAGATTGATCCAGCTTTGTGAGGCCCCTCTTTGTGAATCCTTACTCTGAAGAGTAAGCTAAGACTGGGCCAGGTTTAGGTGACCTTTATTATCTTAAACTTCCCCCACCCCCATTTTTACAAAATTCCAAATTAAATCAACTGAATTAAAATAAATGCTTATGCACCTGGGTGCCTTTTCCATCCCACTCAGGTCTCCCCAGCTGATGGCTAATGATAGATCATCTCATTTTTAATAAGATATCAACCTATCAGTATATATTATAGAAGTATGTGAAAATTATTTTTAATTTTAATTCCCATATCAATGCATGATGTATTAGAATGTTTTAAAAAATTTGTTTAATTGTAAAGCAGGTGCTTTAGTTGAAGTGAGGGTGAGATGTGAGTTCCACCTACTCAGCCTTCCCCTTGGCCTCCTTTACCACCTCAGACATTCCCACAAAATCCAACATTTAAACCATTGGTATGTTGGAAAAAGTATGAGTTTTGGACCCAGAAATATCTGAGTTCAAATTCCAAATCAGCTATTTACTACCTGTGTGAACTTGGGCAAGATATTGGCCTCTACATGCCTCAGTTTTCTTATTCTTAAAAGAGGTAACATATCAGGGCACCTGGGTGGCTCCTGGGTGGTTAGGCATCTGACTTGGGCTCAGGTCATGATCTCATGGTTCGTGGGGTTGAGCCCTGCATCGGGCTTTGTGCTGACAGCTCAGAGCCTGGAGCCTGCTTGCTTCAGATTCTGTTCTCCCTCTCTCTCTGCCCCTACCCTGCCTATGCTCTGTCTCTCTCTCTCACTCTCCAAAATAAATAAGCATTAAAAAAAAAGAGGTAACATATTTACTTCTCAGTATTAATCAATGATTAAGCAGTTAAACCTAAAGTGTATGGCATATAGTAGGCATTCAACAACTCTTAGTTCTTTTTTAATTTCATTTTCAGCTACAAAGATGGGGTCATAAACAACAGGGGACTGATGGTTAAATTATGTATGAATACAGAATCCTAAAAGTAAAATTACTATGTCAAAGTACATGATTTTGAAAATTTGGTGGTTACTTTCATTAGTGAATAAAACAAAACAATGACATGACCTTTCACTTCATTCTTGGTAAAGATACTAGACTCAGATCCAATAAACATTTATTGTGTACAACACACAGTGCTGGGTATGGCCATGTTCATTACCTATAACCCCAACCTCTTCCTATTAGTACTTAACTATTAGCATTACTGATTTTTTTTAAAGTGTGATTAGATAGCTTGCCACATGGAAACTAGGTATATTAAAACATAGTAATATTTTTTAAATATTTATTTATTTATTTTGAGAGGTAGCATAAGCAGGGAAGGGGTAGAGAGAAGGAGAGAATCCCAAGCATGCTCTGCGCTGTCAGCACAGATCCCTACACAGGGTTCCATCTCCTGACCTGTGAGATTGTGACCTGAGCAGAAATCAAGATTCAGATGCTTAACTGACTAAGCTACCAAGGTGCCCCAAAACATAGTAATATTAAAATTAAAAATAATTCATGCAATATTAATCTAACACACACCGAAGGACATGAATACTTGTTACTATATTATATGATTACTAGGCACATGATACACATGCACTGTAATTAGTGTTCTTTTATGTTTAAAAAAAAATTTTTTTTTTCAACGTTTTATTTATTTTTGGGACAGAGAGAGACAGAGCATGAACGGGGGAGGGGCAGAGAGAGAGGGAGACACAGAATCGGAAACAGGCTCCAGGCTCTGAGCCATCAGCCCAGAGCCTGACGCGGGGCTCGAACTCACAGAGCGTGAGATCGTGACCTGGCTGAAGTCGGATGCTTAACCGACTGCGCCACCCAGGCGCCCCATAGTGTTCTTTTATGTTTTAATCAAATATATTATTGTCCCCTCTTTTCTCTCTGTTAATCTTCAGTAACTATTTTAAACATCATAATTTATAAGTTTTGCTGGCAACACATATAGTTTAATGCTTATTGAAATAAAAATATCAGATGCACTTTTTCAATGTGTCGGATTCCCATGAATGCCCTCCTTACCCAACCTAGTCATTAGTTGAGGGGACTCCCATTCCTCCACTCCTTCTTTTTGTCTCTTTTCTCAAGTACTCAGAACTTGGAACCTAGAAAACTCTGGCTCAGTTTCAGCTTTGTCACCTACCACCTATATTAGGTTTCCCTTTCTTTGAAGTTGGTTAAGAAGAATCCCAAACCCACAGTTTTCAGGGTATACTGTACCAATTAAATCAGGAAAAATGCTGGGCACAGATCCTGGCACATAAAAGATATTCGAGAACCAAATGTACCCTCCAGGTTACTGGAGGCAGCAACCTAGACTGGAAAGGCATGAGATGAGGTGAGCAGGGGAATATCTGTCTGAAGGAGAGCATGATTTGGAAAGAGGGAAGTACGGAACAGTAAAAACAGACTCTGGATTTCTGGTAGGTGGGAGGCAAACGAAGGGATGGTAAGAGCGGTGTTTCCATTGCAAAAATTTCGAGTTTGAGAAGACCTTAATGGCCATGTGGCTTAAAGCATGTAAACTTGCTACAGTATCCCTGAGAAGTGATTATCTAGGACAGAGAACCCACTCTCATATACTACTACTACTTTTCCACTGTACTACAGCTTGAATCCATGAAAGGCTCTTCTAATATAAGTTTAAAATTTGCTCCCTCTTACTGTCCACTCAATGGCTGCTTTCTTGGACCAAGAAATAGTCCAATTTCTCCTTCATGTGACATGTGGGGAAGCAATTCCAATAAAAACTTTGGCTTAAGCTTTTTAGAGCCATTTTGGCCCCACTTTTAACCTAACAAGCTGGATTCAATCATTCTCAGTTGGTCTCAGGCTATTTCTGTGGACTATGAATTAGACTGGAGAGGGGAGAGCTCCAGGCAGGAAAGCAGTGTGACAAGGTTATCTTATCTCAGTACTGCAGGCAAGAATCTGGGTCACGGAAAGAAGTAAAAGTGAGAGGCTGTGAAGGAAAAACTAATAAAATAAGGCTTCTATAGAGTGTAAGAGAAAGAGGAAGGGAATCAGTGATGACCAGGAGCTTGTGAGAGAGAATATTTTGGAGAACACTGATGCCAAAAACATGTAGGTTTTAGGTTTGTCAAGGGGATGGATGATGTTGCTTGAGATATCAAGGATTCAGAGAACATCAAAGAGGAAATACACAATAGGCCAGTGGAGATAGGAGGAGGAGGTAGAGATAAAAGTTGAGATAGGAAAAGACCTGGGTCTTCTAACTATGAGTAATGGAGGAAGTCATGGCTGCAGATGAGTTCTTCAAGAAGATAAGAGAAGTTAACAGAGAGGTCAGAGACCCTCTAAAATGCTTATGGCCCTGGGCACTGCCTCTGTCTACATTTGGCTCAGCTAAGAGTCCTTTCTTTTCCCACTTTGACCACCACATTGTCTTTTTAATATCTTCAGTCTGAGTCAAATTTACATTTGGATGTCAAAGGAATCCCCATATAATACTGGAGTTCCAGCAACATTCATGTGCTGCCTTAAATACACATATATATTGTACTATTTCCATGGTACGTTGAACTATGGTCTCCATAATTTAGTGTCACTTTTAAGAGAGGGGCCAATTTAACCATTGATGTGAGTCTGACAAAACGTAAGCCTTTTTCTTGGGTATGCTTGGATAATTAGCTTGCTACATTTACCCTTCATAAATGCAATGCTTCTAAGAAAACATTCAGTGTCAATAATCTGTGGTTATTTGAAAAATTCCTGCCTGTTAACAGAGCTTCTGTTCTCTGATAGTGATTGCCTATGGTAAGAGCCTGCTATATCACATGAAGGAGGTAGCATAGCCTGACATAACCATTTGGTAAGACTAAATCATTAAAAATGATGAAGATGGTGATTTCTAACCAAGACTGGATAAAAGGAAATGGGACTGGATTCCACCTGACTGACTGTCCAGTGACCTGAGGGCAACTCTCTCTGCTTTCCTTTGTCTTTCTCATTGGGAAGATAAAGATGATTCTTAGCTATTAAGCAGTCTCTCCAAAGAGTTAATTAATTTAGTAATGGTTACAAAAGTGTCAGAAGACCAAATAAATCAGAGAAGAAAGTAAGGATTGAGAGAAAGCAAATTCACTAATTAGAGGTGGTTTGGCATCTCCCACATAAACCCTGGCAGACACTTAGATGGACACAAACACTTAGATGGACACTTTTAGGTAAATCATATTCTTCCTCCAAGCGCTCTTGAAATTTCAGCATCTCTTAGGATCAAACCACAAGTGGCTGAGTT